TGAAAATACAGCGATGCGAATAATTATAAACTCGAAGTAATTTATACATTTTTTGTAGTATTGAAACAAAATTTGTATATCTCTATATTTCAATTAATCGATAATAGAAATATACAAATAAAAAAATGTAGAAGTTACTTTGTGTTTATAATTATTCACAGCACTATAGATGGTCTCTTTTAACTGAAACACCTTGTATGTTTGAAAAGAACTGAACGAAACATTACCTTTGAATATTTCTATATTAGAAATAATAGAAAATAAAAATATACAAATACGATATTTTGTTGAGTTTTCTTTTGAATATCGGTAACAATGTAAAAGTTACTTTGAGTCTATAATTATGCACATCACTGTATAAGTTTATTTAACTTGTCATACGTCGCGGTGCCCATAAACAATAAGCTATGGTAGGAGAAGCCTAATATCGTAATACCATAATAAATTCATTATAAGATTCTAGTCAGGTGTTTGGAAACTTTTTTTGATCCAGTGTATGTCGCACGCTGCACGTCATGTGCCGGATACAAATAGCTGCATTAACTGTGCACTTTCCAAGCCGCGTGCCGGCGTGTCGACGTGTGAGGGCCGTATGCAGGCAATTGCATTCGGTATCAAAGTTTAGAAATAAAAAATTCAGCATCATTATGTGATATTATATAACCACAATTTTTCGGGCTATAATTCTATGTTCGCCACAATAAATTTTTTAGTTGGTGTAAGAAATTCTTTCTTTTTCAGATTTAAAAAAAGAACAAATTCATGAAAATAAGAATTTGCATGAAAATTCTCGGTCTATTTATACCGTACAATATGCACAATGATGCATTTTGTACATTTGTAAACTAACCAATTTCATGCAAGTCTTTCATTAACTAATCTTTTTGTAAACAATGAGTATATATTTGTGTCACTTGTGAAACAAACAAGAAAAAACAAAAAATTGTATACAGCAGCAACACAAAGAATTTATATCACAATAAATAGTTTCAACAAGTCGTTAATTAATATATTGTGGAATACCTTTTTCATTTTATATAATTGTTAACTATTGTATACAAGTAA